ACCCCACGGACATGTTCGTCAGCGAGCCGGGACAGCCTCCCTTGGCGGGCGTGGTGATGCAGCAGGCCTACCCCGGCGGCCCCATGATCACCATCCCTGTGCACTGGACCCCCTTCATCGACCCCGTCCTCATCCCGGGGGAGACGGCCCTCACCCCTCTGGACCCCGCCTTCACGCACGTCATAGACCCCAAGGCCCTGCCCATCGACCCCGTGCATATCCTGCCCGTCCAGCACGATGAGACAGGCTGTCCCGTCCAGGTCCAGGTGAGACTTTTCAGACGCAGTCCCGCCGCGTCAGGAGATGCTGAGGGCCCTATTTACCCGGCCAGAATCATGCGAGATATTGACTTCAGTCCATATTTTTGGGCGTCATGAATGTATATGAAATTCCTGATTTGCATGTGATGAATATATTAACCCGGCCGCCCCTCTCCCTCCCGCCAGGTGAAGGTGGATGCAAACGGAGTCCCAATCCAGATCGAGCCCAGCGCCTTCACCGTGTCGCTGAGCTCCCTCCAGCAGCAGCAGCACCTCCCCCCACAGCAGCAGCTGGAGGAGCAGCCCCAGTCTGACGAGGCGCAGGAAGACGGGGCGAGCAAGACGCCCCCCTGCGACGAGCAGCTCCGCCCGGAGGACGGAGCAGCGTCGCCCGCGGACCACACGCCTACCTCAAGCACCGCCACTGCCCACCACTCTGTCCAGTCTTCCTCGCCCGCTTGCGCCGACGACCAGGGCGCCCCGCAGGACGCAGCGGGGGCGTCCAGTCTCGAGGAGGAGGAGGAGGAGGAGGAAGAAGAAGACGAAGAAGAGGAAGAAGAAGAAGAAGAGGAGGAGGAGGAGGAAGAGGAAGAGGAAAAAGAAGATGACGAGGAGGAGGAGAAAGAGGAAGCAGAGAGCGTCAAAGATACAAACGAAAAAGCAGAAGCATGCAGAGAAGCAGAGGATACTGGAAAAACACAGGAGCCTCAGCAGGACAATTACGTCATCCCGCTGGCTGTGCCTTCCACAGTTGCCGGCGAGATGAGTCACCCTCTGGCGACGGCGAGAAGTGCGAAGACCCAGGAATCGCGCGTCGACGACGACGAGGAGGAGGAAGACGAAGACGAGGAGGAGGACATGCTGGCGAAGGAGTCCGAGGAAGGATCCGACTCCAGCGACTCGCAGGTACTGTGCTCGCGGGCCGCCCGACCGCGCCTGGCGTGCGTTGGAATGTCATTTCCATCTCCACATACTACACGTACATTGAAAAGGTGCGGAAATACGCACACACTCACTCTCACTATTACTCTCACTCTCACTCTCACTCTCACTCTCACACTCACACTCACTCTCACACACATTAACACTTACTAAAAAAAAATGTCTTTCATCACCCCACCAAAATGTAAGCTAAGACCTCCCTCATGATCATTACGGCTCACTGCATGCGCCGGTCAATGTACAGGAATGGAATTGATCTTGTTTGCAGTAGCCACACCCACAGATGCTTTTACAGGCGCAGACACCGATCCACAGACTTCTTAAATACCGGAAATTAATCTTTTTGCATGAAAGAGTCGTACTTCCTGATAGTTTCATTCCTGGCAAATATGAATCGCATCGGTCAAGTCAGTCAGGAAAAGACATGCCTTCAACACATCCGGATCTCCTAAGATGACGTCACCCTCTGTCACCTGACAAAAGGTACTCCCGGATCGACCGCAGATTTTCTGGCCGCTGGGGAGACGCCGTGGCGAGGAGAGGGGCGGGAGAGAGAGAAGGAGGAGAGGGGCGGGAGGGAGAGAGAGGAAGGATAGAGGGAGAAGGGGAGGAGGAGAGAGAGAGAGGAGTAGGGGGTAGGAGGATATCGAAGGGAGAAATATGCATATACATCTTCCGTGGGGAAGAGTTTGCAAGACCTCTGTCTAACTTCTAGTGTAGATTCGATGAATTTTGATTAGGTAGCACTGACATCCAGGTCGACATGACACGTTGGAAAAGGGGAAAGAGGGGGAGGGGAGAGAAAAAGAAAGGAGGGTGGGGCGAGAGAAAGAGAGGAGGTTAGGGTAAGGGAAAGAGAGGAGGGTGAAATAAGAAAGGGTGGATAGATAATAGAAAGAAGGGAAATAGGGAATGTGAGTGAGGAGAGAGGGAAAGGGTCTCGAATGGGGAGAGAAGGAACGGTAGGAGAGGGAAAGAGTGGGGAAAGAGCGATCGACTGGAGAGAGAGGAGACAGAGACAGAATGAGAGGGAGAGAGCGAGAGAGAGTGGAGGGAAAGGGAGTGCGATAGTGGGAAGGCAGAGAGTGGAGAGACGAGGGTAGAGGGACAAAGAGACTGGCTGACTAAAACCGAGGAGAGAGGGAAGAAAAAGTTTAGCAGTCTTTTTAGCAGTCTTTTTCTCCTTCTTTTGTGTAGACAAGGTCATTACTGTAGAAAATAATTATTGTACTTTTTGCGGTCGTAACGTTCCTGAAGTCAGTGGTCAGAAAGGTTTGAAAATCAGGAAAAGTCTCAGT